GTTTTCTGTCCTTTGCATACAATGTACACTGTATTTGTTTTTATGATGAGCTGCCACGTACATTACCAGGGGACTACAGATGGCTTGATCCAGTCCCCCCCTCAACCAATACCTACCCCCCTTTTAAATAAGTAACCACACAGAAAACAAGAACTGGAGTTAATGGCCCAAAGTGGTCTTTTATTACAACCATTAATAAATACATTTAAACAACAAAAACACAGTATAACATACGTTTTCCAAGGTCCCAATAGGCATCAAGAAAAGGAATACCTGCGTCCTGCTTAACTAGGCCTCCAGCTGTGACACCACCGACTCGGAGACATGACCGCAGATACCCCCACCAGAACAACTGGAAGCCGTACCTCAGACGGGTTCCTACAAAGTGCCTTTCTTGTGCCCACATTAACCAACGAGGACCTTAAACCCCGCCGGTTGTCCCCCAGCACCAACTGGCACAGCCACCACCAAAGCAAACCATGAAACAAACGGGCGGGAAGTTTGCCTTGTGAAAACTCTCTTCTGACTGAAGACCCCCTGCCACATTTGTCAGACCACCCCTTGTGGCTCCACCCGCTCTCTCCTTAAAACCATTTAGACTCCCCCCTTAGCTAATGGGACTCTCCTCTTCCAACCCCCTTTATCCTGTCATGCCGGCCCTTCGTTCAGGTCTTCTTTCTTTCTTCTACTCTGGGCCTCCTTTGAGTACATGAGCTCACAGCCATTAATGTCAATGACAGTCTGTACACTGCACCTGGGCTCCCTGGGTGGAGGAAATACTCCAGCAGTTACACTGAACAGGCTCAAATTGCCTGTGTGCAAGAACCCTGATACTTTCCTAACGCTACCTTGCAGACTTGTTCACCAGCCATAAGCCTGGGTTCACACTTGTGCAGTGCGGCATATCACATGTGATTCGCACAGGAACTGCACAACATTCCTGTGCAAATCACATGCAAATTCTGTGTGGTGTGATTTGAGTTATACATTTTGTATGGCTCAAATTGCACCACATCTTCACCAAAAAGGTGCAGGACCCTTTTTTTGGTCCACGGGTATCCACACCTATGCAATCCGATTCTACACATCGCACTGCATTTTGTGAACCTATTTTGGGGTGTCGTTAACTTAACATACACACCCACAGCGGGGTTTGCATGAATGGGGTGCAATTGTGATGCAGTGCAGAATTCGCACAGAAACTTCTTCGAATTCCGCACTGCATCAGTGTGAACCAAGGGTAAACCCTAAAAATGCCTAATTTTCCAGGTTTGAGGGTACATTTGACCTTCTACTCTTCCTCCCACTGTGCACTATATGGTGCCTGAATGGTCAGTAAAGGTGGGCTATACAGTGAGCCTGTTACTTTGTCCTAAATAGCGAAAGTGGCAGATTCACTTTTAGGGCCAATGTCGATGGGAAAATGCAGTGTGTTCTCAATTTGAGCCACTTTTGAGTTCATTCAGAATTTACTGAAGATGCATTTGACTTGCTTTAGTACCTTTTTACTTCCTACAGCTTGTATGGAGAGAGAAGCGATTCTGAAGTAAACAAAGCCCGTTGATACTAGTCCAAAAGGGGATTTCAAGTTGACTTGGGATTCATTCCTGAAGCATCACAGAAGGTCCACAATACCCACAGGAGCTTTGTAAACAATATAGGATTCATTAACGAAATTTTTTCAAAATAGTTTTTAATGAACTAATGTTTGACTACTTGTGGAGAACCATTGGCATAAAGACACAGTGGGGATTGATTTACTAGAGGTAAATAGAATGTGCACTTTGCAAGTGCAGCTACATTCTGTGAGGGAATTTGCTCCAGAGCTTAGTAAATGAGGTGAAGCTTCACTTTGCAATAAATAACCAATCACATGCAAGGAAAACAAAACAGTATTTTATTGAGTGGATTATGGAAGCCAGCAGAGTTTCCTTTACTAAACTCAGGAGCAAATTCTCTACCAGAGTGAAACTGCACTTGCAAGGTGCACAGTCTATTTGCCTTTGGTAAATCAATCCCCATTGTGTCTTTATGCATGTGTAGCACTAACCCCTTAGGAATTTTGGGCCCCCCTATAGTACCGCACAGCCATGCAACACGCATTTTCACATCCAATTCCATTCAGGAGTCAGTGACCAGTCCTTGAGCTTGTTTTGATATTTTATCAGGGGATTTAGAATTTGGATGGGGTAAGGGGTGCCCAAAAGAACTGAGAAACCGAGTACAACTTCCTGAACTATGTACAAGTCTTTACACAAAAATCCTCTTCGTGGAGAGCTAGCCAGCATCACCTGTAGTACCACCCCAGACCCCAGATACTCCAGTATCTGGCTGTCTGGAGGAATCCCTGAGCAGGAGATCCAGTGCCTGTCACTTTTACAGTGTAGCTTGGGGTAAAGTTTCAGCATCACAAGCGGTAACCCCGAGCTACTCTTGGGAATACCCTGCAGCATTGCTCTGGGATCCCTCGATCACTTACCTTGTCCTGCAATTCCGCGATGTCCCCCCTGCAGCGTCCCCGGCAATGTCCTCCGGCCGATTCCTGCATCTGTCTTCTGGGTTTCGTTCCCTGCGACCTCAGGACGTACGGGGATGGAACTGGCGGGAAATTTAAAAATGTCAAAGAGTGACATTCACTAAATACACTAAAATCACACATAGTAAAACATTACTGTATCAAACCATTTCACATACATTTTGTCCCTAGTGCTTTGTCCTGTGCCCTGCCTGCATTTTTGTTGTTCTTTCTGCCTGGAAACTGAGAAATGTCCATGGCGTCCAAGAAGCGTTCCTTTAGGTCAAAAGCGGTTTTAGCCCAGCTAGAGAACAGCGATAGTAAATTAGAACTACTTGCAGAATTGAGTGATAATGATTCGTGGGGAAATTCGTCATCAGACACTGAAAATTATTTTGCGACTTTGCTCAGTGATGTGCGAACTTGGCGCTATATTTCAAATTTTAGTGTTTTTGGTTTGATTATATTATTGAATTAAATGTATTATTATTATTATATATTATTATTTTTTATGATTATTTATTAAATTATAATTTATGATTTTGTGTTTCAAATTTTAACATAAACGGGATGTTTACTAGACTCTTGTTTGGACAGATTTCAGTGAGTTATTCTTAAAAATTACAGGCCTACAATAAAAAATGACATATTTGCAAAAAAATGTACTGCTTTGAGCACAGAAATACTGACATAATCAGACCACTGGGGAGGCTACGAAATAAGATAGTCCCGGGGGGTGGCTAATCTGGGTTCCCACCATAGTGCTCCTTACCCTAGCTGGCCCAGGGGGTCTACTCACTCAGTCCTTCTCCTGTGTTGCTGGTGGGTTGGTTGCTGCCACCAGGCCTTTTAGCTGGGCCACTCCTTCCCTGCCTCATAGGTGTTTCTCTGGCTGGTGAAGTCCTGAGCTTTCCTCCTTCCAAGGTCCTCTGCCTGTAGGTGAGTCCCTCTCCATCTGGGCCCCCTCACAGGCTCCTGCCTCCAGCCTCACATCCTCTCTATCCTCCAACTGAACTATCCTGCAGCTGAGCAGGCCCAGTTACTCTTAAAGGCTGTCCTGGCCCCTTGCCAAGCCTTCTGTTGAGGATTGGCCAGGATCCTCTAAGAGTACAGACCTCAAATCCGCCCACTGCTTCTAAATCTTTCTCCAAAGTTTTAGAACAGGGGAAATTCCAGGAGGCTGTTCTGCAGTGCCTCTCAGCTCGGACCACAAGTTGACCCTGCTAGCTATTATACCCAGGCCCTCCTAACTAACAATTGAACTAGAGCTTCCCCTAGCTAACTAGGAGGGTGCTAAACATGTATCACAAAATCAGGTTTCATTAGCAGATCCAGGAAAGAATATTATTTGTGATATACACTAATTACTCTATCAACAGGTCAGTTATAATAACCTATTAGTACCTGATAACGGAAAGGAACAGACCCCCCCCCCCCCTTATGCATGATCTGCCATTAAAGAGATGGAGGAAGAAGGGTAAAATGCCTGGAATATCCCTTAGCTCCCTGAACTACTGGAAGTACTGTTGATGTCACACAGAAACCATCAGCATTTTTATGGCAACCTAAATGCAGGTTTCCAGATTGGGGCCTTTGATTGCATGGTCACCGTGGTAACACTCCTGCGGCACACTGCGATAAACAGCTATTAATAACAGCTAGTATCATAGCTCTTACTCTGCATACCAAAACGCATGCTCTCAGGAAGCAGCTTACAAGGACTGTACTTCTACCACATCCTAGCACATACAGTCATCACTGTTGGAGGATGCCAGGGGGATAAACAATACTTCCCGGCAACAAATGAAATGACTGAGCAAGTTTCAGCTGCCTTTCAGGACACATTCACACTGTGCTGCAATCAGTGCTCACTCACTGCCCCCTAAATTCATCTGCTGCAGAAGTTAGATAGAAGCCAGTGTAAAAATCCTAGATCTGCATAGCATACTTATTCCAGATCAGTGACACAGAAAGTGCGAACACCATGACAGCTGGAGAATGAGCATTTTTAGAAAAGAAGGCCATTAATGGCTTCTGCATATTACTGCGAGTGCTGGGTTCCCTGTAATGATCACACAAAACCCCTTGTTTAACAATGTGAAATGTTAGACGGGCTAATTTGGTTAGTTGCAGGCTGGCTGGTAAGTGAGCTGGGAATATTTGTATGTTGTTTTTTTGACATCAGTCACCCTTCCATGTCCTCCCTGCTGCATAGGCCAGTTACAGATTAGGGTGGTTGCCATTTGTTTGTAATTTTGGTTTCCCTGAAATGTGCAAACGAAACCCCTTGTGTAACAATGTGAAATGTTAGACGGGCTAATTTGGTTTGTTTCAGGCTGGCTGGTAAGTGAGCTGGGAATATTTGTATGTTGTTTTTTTTACATCAGTCACCCTTCCATGTACTCCTTGCTGCATAGGCCAGTTACAGATTGGGGTGGTTGCCATTTGTTTGTAATGTTGGTTTCCCTGAAAGCCTCATACACACATGTATTGTTTACTCTTAAAGTGTTACTAAACCCACATCAGTAAAATCAGTCTGTATATGCAGTAAAGCATGCTTGTTATACTCACTGTGGAACCTGAGGGGTTAATCATCTGCAGTGTGTAAAAAGAATGTTTGATCCTGTCTTCTCTGATCCCCTGCTTTTTTTTCTTGGGAGCGTGCATGAGATCAGCACAGGGCCAATGAGTGCTATTCAGACAGATCAGGAGTCCTGCATCCTCCTACAGGAGAATGCAAACTCCTCCTACAAGCTTTAACCAGTGCTCTGCTGGACACAGATAGAAGTCACAAGACTGCTCTAACTGCTGATGAAAAAAGGTGTTTAGCAGTTTATATTTACTAAAATAATTGCATTTCCATGCTCTGTGTACTGTGGGAGACCAGATATAGTTACTGCCGGGTGTTGAGTTTATTAGCACTTTAACCATTAGCCGCCCGGCCAATGGCCGTTTGGCGGCTTCAAAAGTGTCTCTGCACTCCGGGTGCACGCCATTTGGCGTGCTCCCGCACATGCGCCGTTTGCGCTAATGCAGAGCGGCGCAGCAGTGCGATCTGTCATCGGCCGTGCACCTCGGACACGGCCGATGACAGATCCAAGTACCGGCTCCCGTTGCTGGTACCATGTGACCTGCTGTGACCAATCACAGCAGGTCACATGACAGTTGTATACAATGGATGGCTTCATTCATGATGCCATCCATTGTATACTAGTGCCTAGCTGTGAATGGTCACAGCTAATCACATGCACATGTCATGTGATTAGCTGTGACCAAATCACAGCTAAGCACAAAAAAAAAAAAAAGCTGAATGAATCAATTTCATTCAGGTAAATGCTTGCTTATAGCAAAGTAATTCTTTGCTATAAGCAAATTGTGTAAAAAAAAAAAAAAAAAAAATACTGATCACTTCCCCAAAGTAGTACAATGTTACTATGGTAACATTGTACTATTTTGGTCATAGTAAAATATGAAAAAAAATCTTAAAAAAAATAAAAAAAATGTAATAAAAAATTAAATATAATAAAAAAAAAAAAAAATATATATATATATATTTTTTTTTTTTCATACTGTCATCAGTCAGTGTCGCTGTTCACCGCCATGCCAGTTATATGATGACGCTGTACTGCACTGGTGACAGTATGTAAAAAAAAAAAATAGTGAAAATAATTTTTTTCATTTTTTCATTTTCCGAAAAATTATGACAAAAAAAATACAACTTCAAAAAACTCGCCATGCCTCTTATGAAGTACGTCGGACTGTCTACTCTGCAAAAAGGGGTCATTTGGGGATATCTGTACTATTCTGACATTCTTGGACCTCAAGAAATTAGATTGGCCGTCAGTACTTCAGGATTGATCAATATTCAGATCTATACCATAGTTTGTGAACTCTATAACTTTCCTAAAAACTAAAAAATACATCCTAATTTGGGTTATTTTCACCAAAGACATGTAGCAGAATACATCTCGGCCTAAATTTATGAAGAACAATTATTTATTTGTAAACTTTTATAACAGAAACAAAGAAAAATGTGTTTTTTTTTCAAAAATTTTGGTCTTTTTTTGTTAATTTAGCAAAAAATAAAAACCCCAGTGGTGATTAAATACCACCAAAAGAAAGCTCTAGTTGTGTGAAGAAAATGATAAAATTTTAGTTTGGGTACAGTGTTGTATGACCTCGCAATTGTCATTCAAAGTGTGAGAGCGCTGAAACCTGAAAAATGGCCTGGGCAGGAAGGTGTAAAATTGCACGGTATTGAAACGGTTAAATGCTTGTCTGAACAGTATCATACGTAGTGAGTATTTACAGAGCATTTGATCATCTTTCCTGAAGCCCTGAAAGTAATTTCCAACTCCAGTTTGGGTACCAAATATAGATCAAAATGGCAGTATTTGTTCTAGCTTTTAATAAAACGTTTACAAGGCTTTGGAAGGCTTTAGTAAGCTCTTCAGGCTGTTATACACATCTTCATACATTCTCATGTGCAAACTTTTCATCCTAATCATGTAAGGGGGCCTCCATCTCTGTCATACACTACCTGTCTTATCTTCTTTTAGTAGGGAGGGCTCAGAAACTTTGAACAGTACATAGGGCCTTAAAGGAGAAGTAGGTCCAAAGCTTTTGGACCTATTTCCCCTGTGGGTCATAGGAGTGCACTTACTTCTGCACTCCTGTGACCCATATTCAGCCAACCGTGGGATAAAGTCTGCTGTTGGTTGATCCCACAATGTCAGGATCCACCCAGATGCTTGGACCAGCAGCTGGCTCAGTAAGCTGCTGAGAGCCTGAGCCAGCCACTTCTGCCCCCTCCACAGCCCAACACTCCAGAGTGTACTGGAGGGGCAGAGCAGAGAGCCGGTGACTGACACTCACCGGCTCTCCGCTCACTGGAGAACAAGAACTGAGTGATCAGTAGTCTTTGATCACTTCATTCTTGGTCTTAGAGGTGGTGGAGGACAGATGCAGCATCAAACCTGTGCGAGTATGTAATTTTGTTTTTTCTTTCAATTCCTAACTTCTCTTTTAAGGGCTTTTCCAGATACTGGGAGTCTAAGCCCTCCCAGATCAGTTCCAGCTGTCCACTCTTCTGCTGGCACAGGGGAAACCATTTCATCCCCAACATTAATTCCCAGAAACAGAGGAGTTTTAGTTTCCCATGTAATTTTTTCAGATAACAATTGTTCCAAGTCACACACAGCCTTCTAGTAAGTGTGTAAACCAGCACCAATAAGCTGTACTGAACAGACACTAGGAAGGGCCAGAGACTAACCTCTCAAGTCTTTACCCTACCAAATCTTTGTAGTCATGTCCCACTTACCCTAGTATGATGAAAATGTTCTAATCTCAACGTCAGCCCTTCTAATGTCACACTCATTTGCTGAATCGAAAAGCTTTACTTTGTAAACTCCTCTTCAACATAACGAAGATGTACATCTATATTGCAGCATTCTAATAATACTTCCAGGGGCGGAATGACTATTCGAGCACTCGGGCACTTCCCGAGGGCCCAGGGTCAGTAGGGGGCCCCATGAAATGCCCCTGGTACTTTTTTTATAGGCTTTTTTGAGTGTGGGCAAGGACACAGAGGCCCCATGATCCCCTATTGCCCGGGGGCCCCATGAGTTGTCAGTCCGCCCCTGAATACTTCATTAATGGAGACAGGTGCCTGACAGGCTCTGTATATATCACCATGTTCTAAACTGGCAAAGGATAGTGGCTTCTACTCCTCCACCCCCTACCTGCCCAGCCAGCAGCAGCCCCATTCCTATGAATCACGAAATTCATATTTGCACTTAATTGCTAGCAAAGAAGAGAAAACTTATTCTATCGATTTAGTAGTTAGTTCTTGGTGTAGAGAAGGGAAAGTAATTCTATTAGCCCTTCCACCTCAATCCTGACTTTGAATTCTGATCTTGCTTTGTAGGTTCCATTCATACCGAAGTGCTTTGTAGCTTGAAGCTCCAAGATGCTCAACAAGCAAAATCCCATTTATTTCAATGGCCCCTGTTCACATCTGAACATTTTGTGGCCTGTAGCAAAATGTCTGTTGCTAAAAAAAAAATCTTCTTTTTGGCAGATTGGAGCATTTTTGGTCCCATAAACTTTAATAGGAACACCTAAATATAAGCAACATGTGTGTTTTATGCACATTTTCTGACCAAACAGCAGCTCTCCACTCCTAATTTCTTCCCCCTAGTGCTTTCCTTTGGCTAAAACAAAAAGACCTAATGCTTGCACACTGTTTTGGACATTAATACAGAAATTCTATAGATACGCACCTCCTATCCTCATATTGATTAGTGGTTCCAAATTAATAATACCTACTGCAGTAGGGAATAGACACAAAAAGATACACTCAGCATCTTTACAAATATTTGTTCTGTTTATTTGGCGCATGTGAAGTTTTTTTCATACACCTGATTACGTAGGTGGCACATTAATATTACAATTATACTTTTATGGTAACAAGGGGCGTTACATAGGCAGGCTGATTTCTAATCAGGACTTGAAGGAATGCAAATGTAATGAAAGCATTATTATTCTGTTTGCGCAATGAGTGCAGTGTGCAATACATAGGCAAACCATACAAAATAGAATACAATTTTATACAGAATTTACAAGTTTCCTTTACAAAAACACAACTAAAATGCTAGTACTACAGTACTAAAATGCTTGTATAGGCTCGCAAAACTCTCATAAAAAAACTCCTGTAAATCGCTCAGGTCAGCTGTGAATGCCTAAGGACTGAGGATAAATACTTCTCTGTGTAATGGGAAGGCAGCATAAGACAATATTCCAAATCCCCAGTATCTGTGCATGCTGTCAGATCTGCACTCTCTACAAACAGCTAATTCCTTGGTCTCCTTGTATCCCCACAATGCACAGTCCACTTCATATTACCTATGCCACCAGTTGCAGTATACACAGTCTTATTCCCCTTACCCTTCATAAACCAATATGATCCTGCTATATATTGCAGGAACAGAAAACAAGATGATGTTGCTTCCCCTTCTGCTATTACACATCCTGATAGAATCCTGGAACTGTGTTACTTCTTGTCCACATGATAATAAGATACTCCCAACAACACATCCTACAGTATACCTCCACTCATTTTACTACTATGATGTGGGCTGTTTTTGGCCTGGCAGATTACTACTGTGATTTGCTGGGATAGGGAATCCTTCCCGCGGAGCTACTGTGTTCTCCCAGCAGAGGGGATGCGGGGAGCCACCCTGCCGAGAGTGATTATTGCTAGCGGCTATACCTGCTTGCAATAATTGCATGCAAAAATGCTAACATGCTGGTTGTACCCAAGTCAATTGATGGATCGACTTGAATACAACCAGCGTGCCCATAGATGGATCAAATCTCAGCTTGTCCCTGCTGGACCCAGTATGTGCTGCTTACAGCTCTATATTACCAACAGTGACAATAGGGTAAGCACAGAACCAAGAGATGTTGTGGCGCCAGTCAGAAGCTGAGTGTGGGAGAAATCGCCTCCCAATACAGGGGAGCAGTGTGCAAGTGTCAGTCCAGTTGCTTACATAGGAAAAGAAGAAGAGACACCGCTCTC